CGTTCCTACGCCCCTGCTCATAATCCACCTTGCAATCCTAAATCGATGGTGTTTGTAGTTTTTATGCAATGATACGATTCTTGCAAACCCTTACATTTCACAGGTCTGCCTCTTTAAGTCCCGAATTCGTCCGTTAATTTATTTCCTAAAAAAATCGACATTTGAGTTATTTTCAAAATTTTGAAATTCAAACTGAATTGGTAAAAAACTGCTCGAAGGAAAAATTCGAAAGTGTCATATATTTGCCTTGGCACAGACGGGGTCGACGATTCAAATTTTTGAGGAACATAGGAGTACCATCCGAAATACATCCGGAGTACATCGGGAATACAGGGTTGTGTCCGAATTCTCGAACATTTCGCCCCAGACGGAACAGATGGATTGCTCTGCGGCCGTCGCGAGCCGTGCCCGCTAACCCCGCCGGGACCTGACCTGAGCTGTCCTTCTCGCGATGTCCTCGCGAGTTTCGCCCGCTGCGGGGTAGCTGGCGAGTCACCTTCGCAGATCACCCCCGTTGAGGGGATATTCTCGCGACTCGCGGCCTGTCCTGTCATCTCGCGGGGCACTTGCGGTCGCGGCCCTCGTGGCGTCGCGAGTGTTGGTAGCAGGCAAGAGTGACTGGCGCGGTTCACAACGGTCGCATAGAGCAATCCGTCTGTTCCGTCTGGGGCGAAATGTTCAAGAATTCGGACACATCTCAGTGCACACTGATAACACCGGAGGCACACTCGGAGTTCACTCAGGGTACGTGGAATACACTCGGAGTATGTGAAATACATCCGGATTTCACCTGGAGTACACTCGGGGTTCGTGAAGTAAACTCGGAGTACGTGGAGTGTAAGAGCACATCAGTTGTTGACCCCTCGAGTACTGATGTCACATACACACAGGAAAGTGTGTACTGCGGCAACACTGTTAGAAAAACACACGGTATTGGCCACGGTCTGCGCCGGTCTGCGTTGTGAATTGATTGCCTGGTCCGGCACCGTAGTTTTTGGTTACGGTCCGTGTCATACTGAACAGACTGTAACTTGAAAAAATGTTGGGGAAGTCAAATACAGCTCTTAGCCCAAACAAGAAAGTAAAGTTCATACTTGTTCCGGCCTGACCGAACGCTGATAATACGGTACGGACCGTAGGCAAACCGTGACTGCCTACGGTAATTTTTTTACAGTGAAGTACCACCCAAATCACACCCTTTTTATTTTGCGTGTTCTAAAGTAACTGTTGTTCAAAATTTCGAACTTTGAACCGAATTTGTTCAAAAAAGGCTCGATGAAAAACTTCAAGTTTTAGGTAGCTTGTTCTGCTCGGGGAGATCTACAAGTTCCACCAAGTCTCGTCCGGCTGCCATTTTATCGCCAATCTTTTGCGTATATTTCCGGCTTGGTCATGCACTTATCTGTTTACTTTTCTTTCAGGTGAAATTCAGCGAGTGCTCAAAAGATAACGTCAACGCAATGGTGAGAGAGGAGGGACGGGCTGTGGAGTCAAACGAAAGTGATGAGTTCAAGAAACCATTTGTCTCTTACACAACAGAAAATGATGTAAAAAGTATAGTTTGTGGAGAGACCCACCAATCAAGTCGAATCATACGAGATCCCTTGCCACAAGAACCAACGTTTAAATGTGCGGTTTCTGAAAACTGGTTCCAATCGAAAACTGCCTTAAAAGCACACACTAGTCAGAGTATGGAGGAATATAAGAGTACTGATTGTTATGAAGGCTACAAGAGGAATGACAGCCCACGAGACCATTCCCTACAGACCTGTGTAAAAGAAAAGACATTTCAGTGCGATATTTGTGAAAAGTTTTTCGGTACCAAACGGTACCTAAAAAGGCATTTGAATAGGCACTCAAAGGAGAGACTATTTAAATGCACTGACTGTGAGAAAATGTTTAAATCGGGTAGTGCCTTAAAGGCACACAACGTTACTCATCAAACAATTGAGAGATTCTTTGAATGTACAATTTGCGAGAAAGTCTGCAGAACGAGTAGTGCCTTAAAGGCACACAGCGTTATTCATCAAACAATTGAGAGAATCTTTGAATGTACAATTTGCGAGAAAGTCTTCACAACGAGTAAAGCACTCAAGTCCCACTTATCAAAAGAACATTTAAAACTTTTTAAATGTTCGTTTTGTGGCGAGTGCTTTGACAGTAATCCTCAACTACTTACTCATATAAACTCTCACACTCAAAACGATTTAACATGTGCAGTTTGCATGAAAACATTCAAAAACATACCAAAACTTAAGAACCATCTCTTAACACACACAGGTGAGAGACCGTTCAAATGTTCTGAATGTGATAAGAGTTTCACATCGCGAAGCGTACTACAGGCACATGTAGTTTACTGCCATTCAAATGAGAGGCCATTTAAGTGTAGTCAATGCGCACAAGAATTTAAAGTTGTCTCGGGTTTAACTAGACACTCACGTGTACATACAGACGTAAAGCCTTTTCAGTGTACAGTTTGTGAAAAGAGATTTCGACGCTCGTGTCACCTTAAAAGGCACTTTCGTCGTCACACCGGAGAGGAGACATTATTTCAATGCACTATTTGCGGAAGCTCATTTCCCGATGGCAATAGACTTCAGTCCCATCTAAGCATCCACACTGGATTCAATCCGTTTCAGTGTACTGTTTGTGGAAAAACGTTAAGCTCAAAGGAAGCGCTCCAATCACACATGTTAATCCATACAAAGGAAAGACCTCATCAATGCACAGTCTGTGAGAAAAGCTTTAGGACGACCAAAGGCTTGAAGACCCACGTGCGCATTCACACAGGGGAGAAACCATTTCAATGCACATATTGCAAAGACAAGTTTTTGCTGGAAGCGCAACTGCAGAGACATACTCTCATCCACACCGGGGAGAAACCAATACAGTGTGCCGTGTGCAATAGACGCTTCAGACACAAAAGCAGCCTAAAAGTGCATGCCTGCAAACCCCAAAATCAATCAGCAGCCAGCTCGCAATGAAGGCCTTGCGTGGCGGAGAGTAGTGGGGCGCAGTGGTGGGGAGAACTAAAACAAAGCAAAAAGCGGTCGAAAGCGAAACTCCAGAAAAAAAGAGATTATTGCTTTGTTTTGGTTCCTCCTGAGGACCGCGCACCCGTTACTGAGATTTTGCAAGTACAGAATGAACTCGCTTATACAGCAGTAATACTCACAAAATTGCGAGTAATACTCACAAATTTAGTAAGTAATACTAATTATTTTGTTAGGAACTACTTAGAAAGAGCATCCTCAGTAGTTCCTAACAAAATAATAAGTATTACTTACTAAATTTGTGAGTATTACTCTCAATTTTGTGAGTATTACTGCTGTATAAGCGAGTTCATTGTGTATTTGCAAGATGTCAGTAACGGGCTCAGAGTGCGAGTTTACCCCCGCCAAACGGCGAATCCCCAAGAGGGGCCAAGTCCGTGTGTTTCTGTCCACGTTTAACGTGTATTTTTTTTTTTATGTGCATTCATATGTATTTGTGTATTTTTATGTATTCTGGAGTAATTTCTTGTATTCATTTTGTATATTTTCTTGTATTATGAAATCTGAAACGTTTTGAACAGTATTCATGGCGAGGGGTGGACGACTGGGCGGCTCCTGTGTACAGGCCAAAATGTACTCCAGGTGTTCTCCGATTGTACTCCGACTGTACTCCGTGTACTCCGGCTGTTTTTGTCGCAAGTTCTCCGCGCACTCCGACTGTAGTCCGGGTGTACTCCGACTGTACTCCGGTGTACTCCGGGTGTACTCCAGGTGTACTCTGCGCGCTCCGACCGGCATACTCAGTGTTCTCCGACTGTACTCCGTGTACTCCGTACTCCTGTGTACACGAAAAATTCAAGTCGCCCACCCCTCGATTCATGGGCTTGAATGCTAACGTAATATTAATATAAAATAGAACGTTGCCCCTGTTGCATCTCTTTAAATAAAAGATAAAAAGCCCTTGACCATTCTTTAATTTCGATACCGTCCTCAACCCTACAATTTGCTGCTGATAAGCTGACGAAAGGGTCGTAAGTCTACAGTGTATCGAAAACTGCCGTGAACAAAGATATCCCTTCTAAAATTTTTAATTTGACCTTCGTGATTCAAGCGTCGTTTTCGTTTAAACTGAAAGTGTTGAACACGATAGCGTGTTTGCACTTAGACATGTCTTCTGGTTCGGAAAATGAGTTCGTTTGGCAGACTTTGCACACCTCTGCTGCCGTTGCTGCGCCCATTGCCAGTAATACTGAAAGTGGAAAGAGAGTACTGCGAACGAAGGTAGGACGGGTACTGTACGTGCGTCTGTTGACCATTCCGACTTGGGAGACGTCTTCCAAAACACACCCATCCTTTCCCCTCTTCCTCGTCCGTCCAGGGGGCGTGGCGAGGTGAGGGGGGG